CGATGCGGTGGCTTGAGGGCGAGCGCAGGTGGGAGCGTATCCTCAGGACGTCGAGGCGGACGACGGCGATGTGCAGCAGGTACAGGACGACAGCGACCAGAGGGCTAGCAAGAGGTAGGAGAAATTTCTTTCGTATTTCCCATAGGAATTGGGGAATGATTTTGTTTATAATGTTATATAAAACGCCCTGTTTCTTTATAACAATTTTCAACGATGAGCAGAAATCTTTGCACGTTCGCTTACTTGAGTTGTCGGAAAGTCTCACTACGTCACCATGTACAAACCCATACTTGCATATTATTGGATGTATATACTTGCAGTTGGCGACACAGTCACATGATTCATGATGCGTTACGTTTGGAGACATCGGCAATTTCTTGGCATCGCAAGCTTCTATGCATTTGCTAACCCGGCACTTTGGCTTGTCACCGCCACAAGTATTACTGCACTCATCATATAATTTCTTTAACAAATCGTAGAATGTTTCGGTGATAAACACAATCCATGATAAATATTTGTTGGCATTCTTCGCGGAAAATATACCGCATATATCGACACAATGTGGCTTTAGATATGGGCCACAGGGGTGTGATGGAGTCGACGGGGTAGTACCATTGCATTTTACGAGTGCATAAAGATCACCGGTGAGGTGAGTACTACTTTGTTCCGTGGGCTTAGGATTATGATTGCTGTTTTTGAACATTGCGGTAATGTCCAGATCGTCATAGCGTTCGTTGAAATACGCCTTGTTAACGGCATCATCAAATGCACGTCTCTGATGCTTCTGACGATCTTCATCACTAATGTCGTTCCACCCACTGAGGAAATTAAAATAGAAACCAAACATGTCACCGAGCGTTTTGGGGCCGCTTGGGAGGAGACAGTTCAGCTGGGCACAAAGTTTACTGAGAGGGGACGATGAAGCGCCACATATCTCAGCGAGGATGTTGTTAAGGCTCTCGCCCGTCTGCCTGCGTGACGCCACTGTGTCGATATCGGCGAAGCCCATAGGTATCCTACATGGTATGCCATAGTGGTTGCCGAGTGAACATTTAATTTGGCCTCTGTTCGATGACACATCATGAGGCAAGAACCCCTGTAATCCATCTTCTAAGAAAGATTGCAGCGGTGATTTAATGCCGCACTTAGGATATTGGTTGCACTTTTGGTTAGGGTTTTGGTTACATGTTTGCTTATGCATTTGGTCAGCGTTTTGGTTGCCCGCTTGGTTAGGGCATTGGAGATTGTTGCACTTCCAGTTTGATCCTCCGATGCCACAACCGTACCAGCACTCACGCCAGCCTCCCAAAGAGTTCTCATAGGAGCATTGCTGATATAGTAGGTACAGTTGGTAGTGCAGGCGTTTTAGTAAATCAAATAGTAGGCAAATTAACGTGTTCATATTTTGGGGATATATTAAACCGTGTGGGTTGACATTATAGTCACAGGCATACACGCCACCTGCGTGGCCGTGGCCCATTATAGTGGTGAGGAGGTCATGAGAATAGTGGCATACTTCCGTCAGGTTGTCTGATAGATTTCCAACTGTGATCGGTTCTGGGTACGCCTCCAAAGACACTTCGTCGAGGTCTTCGTAGGAGATGAAGCTATCGTGAGTGTCAGTGGAGGCTGGCTTCTCAGTCTTATCGAATAGGCTACTAAAACCGTCGGCCGTCAAATCAATATATACGGAATTATACGGGAGGCCAGAGAACCACATGAGAGTCTCATATACGCTGCAAGGTGCCCTGGGATTCGGCGGTGGATTAAGATGGTGAAGACGGAAAAAGGTTTCGAGCAGCTCCAGAAGTGTTTTAAGTGCTCCGCCATCTCGAGAATAGTCCATGCTCGTATAGATGTGTTTATCTGCAGAACCGATAATGAGGTTCCTAATGTGCTCACCTGTCATGGTTTTCTTGTCCTGCAATTCACCGTTCTGCTCCCCTGGGTCCGAGACCTCGTAGCCTTCATCGGCCATAAATGTTCCGAGTGCTGTGTATTTGCTAATCTGCAAATCCTTCAAGCCGTCATATGTTGACACCTTGCCACACCGTTTCCTCAGCTCACTGAAGTTCTTGTTCAGGATGGAAAGGATGTGAGACAGGTCTTGGCATACTTGGAATCATCGGCGTCGTTGTACGGCTTTCCGGAATACGTGTTGACATATGCGTTGCCCAGCTCTTTGGTCAGTCTGTTAAAGCCATCCTTGAGGCTCTGCAACATGAAAGTCGAAGATGCGCCGAATTTATGAGGAACACATTGAGCAAGTGATTTTTTGAGTGCGTCTAAATTAACACTGAAGTCGTGATTAAAGTGCTGTGAATCTATGAGGCCAGTGAGTAATTTGGTAAGTGCGTCGTTCGAAGGCTTTGATACCTTGGAGTCGGACATGAAATCGGATTGATTTTGTAACACTCCGGAAAATGATGTCAATGCCTCTTTCAATTTTCGGCGGCCCTTCAGTGGAGAATTATCTGGAGAAGAGGATGTTACTTCAATAGTCTTAATTTGTTCCACCTTCTTAACAAACTGCTCTCCTAATTTTGCCATAAAGCCCTTGTAGCCGATTTTCAAATCTTTCTCTATTTCGTCCGGCAATCCTTCCAATACCTTCTCTGCCTTTTCGGCGAACTCGGTGAGCAGAGTTTTCAAGGCGTTAACGTACTGCCTTGTCGCATGGGTAGTAAGAGCTTCCTGCGCTGTTTCTATTTCACGTTTGACATGGTTTCCCAGCAGGTTGATTGTTGCAGTAGTCGAGTGATCTACGTGCGAAAGATATCTTTTGGCCTCCTTGATGGGACCGCTTTCCAGCTTTTTTTGCAGCTCACTGAGGTCACTGTGGATTTTGTTAATGCTGTTTTGGGCACTTGTGGACTCTGCGAAGTATGTTTCTTTCAGGAGAATAAGTTTTGTTTTCGCACTATCTTTACCGTCTGCAGCGGCGTTCCTAACAGCATAACACAGGTTACTGAGATTGGAACTGACTTCCGTGAATTTCACTATGGCCTGATCATTGAAATCGTCAATCGTCGTTAATGCGCCGGTCACCTCATCTCTGATTTTCCTGATCTTCTCTGGAAGGGCGCCTGCAAGGGCATTGGGGTCAGTGAGTGCAAGGCTATCTCGTGTGATCTGTGCTTCATAATTCGTAAATGCTTTACCCAGTTCAGATATTTTGTTACCTCCACCGCCTCCAGATGCCATTATATCCCCGCCGATCTCCTCGTCGAGGACATTTTCGGTACCTGTACCGGCGGCGCTTGCTATCTTGCCGGCTCTGAGATTATCACGGGTTCCTTCGAATTGAGTCATGAAATTATCCGAAGTCGCAAGATCTATTTCACCACCCGATGTCTTCTTGAAACTCACTTTAAGCTTCGCCGCAATCTCATCATTAATAGTGCCGGTCCCCTTTGTGTCGGTTTGGGGAGCGCTAGTGCCTCTGCTAAGCTTTTGAAAAAGATCCTTAACCCTCCCGTTAGACGCATCCATCTCAGCTGCGATTGTGGATTTACTGTTGCTGAATGGCTTGCCTACCTGTTTTTCCTTGGTGGTCCCAACCATCCATTCGAGTTCGGTAGCCTCTCTGCGTGCCCTAATAACCATTTGTTGGAGAATGAGTTTGACGGCTTGAGTAAGATGTAAGGCGCCATGTTCTCCCTTATTGTGTTCCTCAAATAATTCTTCGTCTTGTCCAATCTGGTGCACGATTGTTTGAACTTTGTCATCAACAATGACCTGAAGAGTTTGGGCAAATGTCTTACAAGCACGCTGGATATTTTCCACGTTCTGTTGAATGCTTTAGCTAGGTTGAACGTTGACTTGGGCAGTAACCCCTGCTTCTTGAAGCACTTTCTTAATCTCCCTTTTAATGGGCTCATGGAATCTGTCGGCAGTGGTGGAACTATCTTTAAAAATATTATCACCATACATGTTCTTCTTGCTACCATTGTTTTCGGCAATATAATCCTTAATACGCCTAGTAACCTCATTCGTCTTCAGTATCTCCGTAATCCAAACCGTCAAAATGCCACTCTCAAAGGTATCTGGGTCACTAAACCTCTCCGCATACCTCTCAAAGCAAAAGCAATCCACATAAGCCTCTCTGTGTATCTCGTTCCTTCAAAATCTCCTCACTTTCCCCATGTAGCTCTCTCAGCTCCCACCATACTCCCTCATCCCTGTGTTAACCCTCCTCCAGCACTTTGATCACTCTTCACATTCCTTCCAACGTTTTCGCCAACTGCATGATCGTGCGATGTTATCAGCAACATTATACAAATCCTTCTTCTCGTCGTCCATCTCTTTCGGCCTCGAGGGCGGCGGTAACTTTTTCTTTGACTTCCTGGCGGCCTCCCCAGGCTATGAGTACCAAGACAGCTGACTCAATCTGCTGCACTGCCGATTTAATCAGCGCGGGATGGCTACTTAAATTATTCTCATTAACAACATCTAATATCTTTTCCACTTGTGTCAGCGCCGCCTTAACGGCGGCATCCGCATGTTCAATCCATTTTCCCAAGTTCACGACGCGCTGTCTCAGTGTCTGACTAATTCTCTCAAGTTCAGCCAAGATGCTCCGAAACTTATCTCACCTCCGCACAACCGCAGTTACTTCTCTACAAATGTGCGCATTTACCTCCGTCTCACGCTCTTTCAACACGCTCTTAATCTTCTCCGTCGTCGCCTTCAACTCCTCCTCCCTGCTTTTGCTCCTCGCCAGCCGCTCCTTCTCATACTCTATTGTGCCACGAACATGTAACACTCTATCACGCAACTTATCATTAAATTGTTTAATTGTGTCGCTATTTCCAAATTTATTGTGCTTAGTGGCTAGGTTATTACAAAAGGCCGAAGCCTTTCGTCCGCATTCTTCCAGCCTGGCGTCCACTTTCTTCTTGGCAGCTTCCGCTTCTTGAGGTCGAGAATTCTCGTCAACCTGAATATCATTAATGTCATTAAGTAACTTACCATCTTGTTTCTTCGTGTAGTCTTGAAGTGTAGTTACAACATTTTTAACTTGCTCATTAGATTTTCTAACACCCTCATTATACTCCCTCACCCCCTGGACCACCTTGCCAATCGCATCATTAAAACCTTCTTTGCCAGAGTGTTTATGGGTGTTAAGAGCATTAATTGCTGTTGTAATCTTATCACTATGTAAGCCTAATTTAGGCTGAATGTTATGTAAAACACCATGAAGGAAAGACATCACCCCGTCGCACAGCCTGTCAAGGTCCGAGTACACGATGCCGGAGCCATCGTAGCCTTTGGAAGTTTCTTGGTAACCAAGGAACTTCTCCAAGCCAGAGCACAGGTTATTTAATAATGTTGTTGCAGGATTATTTTAGGCACATTTTCAGGGCGATTTGGGGGAATTTGGGGAAAGGCGATTTTAGGTCAAGGAGGCAGCGAGGCAGTGAGGGAGGTGGGTGGACAGGGTGAGGGAGGTGAGTGAGTGGGTGGACAGGGTGAGGGAGGAAGATGGGCTGAGAGGAGGCGGTTTCAAAGGTGGAGGGAGAAAGTGGAAAATGAGGATTTGGGTGAAGGACGCCGACGGAGGAGGTGATGGAAGGGGTGATGAAGGAGGGAGCGAAGCGACCAGTGAAGGAGGGAGGTGAGTGGGTGGTTGAGAGTGTGAGTATGTGAGTGGGTGGTTGAGTGGGTGAGTGGGTGGGTGAGTGAGTGGTTGAGTGGGTGGTTGAGTGGGTGAGTGAGTGAGTGATTAGGTGGTTGAGTGAGTGGGTGAGAGGGTGGTTGAGTGAGTGGTTGAGTGGTTGAGTTGGTGAGTATGTGAGTGGGTGATTAGGTGAGTGGGTGGGTGATTAGGTGAGTGAGTGGTTGAGTGGTTGAGTGAGTGAGTGGGTGAGTGGTTGAGTGGTTGAGTGAGTGGGTGGGTGATTAGGTGGTTGAGTGAGTGAGTGGTTGAGTGGGTGGTTGAGTGGGTGAGTGGTTACGTGAGTGGTTGAGTGAGTATGTGAGTGGTTGAGTATGTGAGTGGTTACGTGAGTGGTTGAGTGAGTATGTGAGTGGTTGAGTATGTGAGTGGGTGAGTGGTTGAGTGGTTGAGTGGTTGAGTGAGTGGTTGAGTGGGTGGTTGAGTGGGTGGTTGAGTGAGTGAGTGGTTGAGTGGGTGGTTGAGTGGGTGGTTGAGTGGGTGGGTGATTAGGTGAGTGGGTGATACACAGATCACACGTGAAGGCACGATTATGGTGAGAAGTACTTGACGTTGGCGAGTGCCTTGACGCGTGCGGCGGCGAGGAGCGACTGCGCGGCGATGCGGTGGCTTGAGGGCGATCTCAGGTGGGAGCGTATCCTCAGGACGTCGAGGCGGACGACGGCGATGTGCAGCAGGTACAGGAGCGACAGCGACCAGAGGGCTAACAGAGTGCACATAAATGGCCATCTGATGGCGCACATAAATTTATCGATTTCAATGAAAAGCTCCCGGAAGTACTTCGATGTCATGACTCTTTCCATCTGTGTGACAAAGCTATCGCACCGCCTACTCGTCGGACCCTCCATTAACTCGCCAGCTGCGCGGAAAGTGAAACCATATTGGTAGAATGTGGTAAGTGCGCCTTGGCATTGCACGATTGATTCACAGTGACAACGCGGTTCCGGAGCTTTCGGAGCTTTTGACGGATCCGTATCAATGACGCCATGCTTACCGGATGGACAGTTACATGACGAACAGCCATGCGATTTACATGATATATTTTTGAAGGCGTTGAATAAACATTCAAGTAATTCCCAGAAGTCCCATGTAAGATATACGATGCATCGGAGATACACTTGGGCATGCTTCGGGGCGTACGTGTGATGGGCACTATGCCCGAGGGGTTGAAGGTAAGGACCACAATGAATTTCTTTACCGTAACATTTTTTGGTAATATCAGTAGTCGGCTTTGTCGACAAACTCTGAAGACCGCGATGATTCAGGTCATTATTAACGCCTTTGTGGTCGCTGTCAGAGCGATACAAATCTCTCAGCTTATCGGTCAGCCGATTAGCGTTGTAATCGTTATGAAACACTTTGGTGAATGACGATGGAAAACAGTTATCAATGACACTGTTAAGCTTCACCTTGTATGCCTCGTCATGCGAATATGATCTCGGCACAGAGTGCCACTGCTGCATCACGTTGCAGAACAACGGGAACATGTCGGCGAGACACCTCGGCGCAACAGGGCATATACACGTCAGGCAACGTAGCAATCTTGGTAACGGTGAATCGGCATTTCCACAAACCGTTTGGAGCACATTCTGCAAGGTGATACCCTTTTTGGTTATGGAGCCTGCACTGAGCAGATCGCAGAAACCCATGGGTGTTCTACAGGGCGTACCCTTCGGGGCGGAGCGGCAACTGGAACATGTGAGCTCTGTTCCCTTAGATGTTACGCTATGCGGCAGGAAGCCTTTCAAGCCGTCTCCCAGGAATGACTGGAGAGGGGATTTGACACCGCAGCTAGGATGTTGATCACAGCGTTGCTTAGTGTTTTGGTCAGCCTTTTGGGTAACACTTTGGTTGGTCTTTTGGTCAGCTCTTTGGTTGGCAATTTGAGAGCACTGTTGGTTGGGACATAGCATGGTGTTGCACTCCCATGAGGAACCTCCGACACCGTTGCCGTAATAGCACTCACGCCAACCAAGGTATGCGGAGGGTGTACGGCATCTGCTGTACACGAAATACAGTTGGTATAACAAACGTGTACACACGTCGCGTAGCATGTCGAACAGACTGGGAACATTTGAGGGGTAATGGAAACCATGGGAGTTATCTAAGAAAGTGCAAGCGTAGGGGTAGTCTGCGCCTTGCGCACCGTTGCCGTGGCCGCAGATGCTGATGAGTACGGTGTATGAAAAGTCACACGTGGTTGATAGGCTAGCAAGCAAATCTGTTTTGAGAATATCGCTAATTACGGGATCGGGGTTTTTGGATTGCTTAGCAGCGTCGTTCACCTCCTTGTTAAGCTGATCGGTGCAATGCTTTTCAACCATGCTGTACACGGAGGTATACGGGAGACCGCAGAGCCACGATAACATGTCACGGATGGAAGACGGATAGGATTTGGGTTCGGAGATTCTCATGTGGCACGCCTTAAGGTAATAGACCAGATGCCAGTATAGCTTGGACAGCGGGCCTCCGGACTGCTGCGTGGAATGGAGGTACTTGACGATGTGTATTTGTTCAGCGGGATCAAACTGTTCAAATTCTGCATACGATTGAAACGCAGTGCGTAATTTGTCGGCAATGATATCACCACTGTGTTTCTTATTAATAAGGTTGGCAGTGTGGTAGCCCATTTTTTCGAAATGGATTTTCAAATCACGGCTCTTACCAACGGTGCCATCAATACTAAGCGATGCCCAAGCCGTGTATCCGTAATAGTGCAGACTATACAACTGCTCAAAGAGCGTGGACGTTATAGTAGCTAAAACTCTGGCGCATCTCATGGCGTCTGGAGTTAACTTTTTTTCGGCCTTTGGGCCGTTAGATTCCTCCCACGTGATTTGCTCTGAGCCCGAATATTTGTTAACGTACGCCTTGTCCAGCTGCGCAGTCATCTCCTTCAATCCGCCTTTCAACGCGTCCAGCAGTTCCGGGTGGCTGTAGCCGGCGAACAGAGTAGGCGCCAGGCCGGTGACCAGAGCGTTGAGTGAATCTAAATGAGTTTGAGAAGTGTAGTCGAAATAGAATTTTCTGCTTGTACCATCTATAAGATATTTAAGCAAAACGTTTAATCCTTCTTTGATTTCTTCGACCTTTTTGGCCTCCTTGTCGGAGGCCTTATGTGATTTAGGTCTGACTTGCGTGGCGATGTAGTTGAGGATGAGTGTGGAGTATGCTTGGAATTTCGTGGATGATTGCACAAATTCAGTTTGATTGAGTGAGTTTATTTTACTCCCATCCGTCTTATACATCTCTGCCAACAAGCCTTTCATGCCACTCTCTTTATCCTGCCTAATGATCTCGGTTATCGCAGCGTTTTGCTCGTTTACTAATGTTTGTAAGGCTGTTAAGTCCGCCTTATGCTGCTCGCAGAACATGGATTGGACTGCGGTTTTGACGGCGTCGAAAGCTTCTTCGGCGGTTGCGGTGAGCGATTCGCTGACCTCGGTGATTTTTTCTGTGAATGCCTCTTGGGCTTCTTGAACGGTTTCTTTCGCTGATTTTATGGCTTGTTCAAGAGATCTATTAAAGGCTTGAATATCACTGTCAATTTTTGTACTCTCCGCCAGAATCTGGCCAACTTGCTTTCGAAGAGACTCAACTTGTGTTTGCATATAATCTGCCGCCTTTTCTTTTGCTGTGGCAACTACTTGACTTGCAGCCCCAATCCGTTTCTGAAGTTCGGTTACTCGCGTTTGAATATTCATTGAAGTGGCGCCGGCTGGAACCTTGTTTAGCCTATCGATTTGCCTTTGGACAGAAGGATTAATTTCACCAAGTTTGCCTCGCATTATTGTTTTCACTCTTTCATTTAACTTTTCCATACCCTTCTCGGCTGCTTCTTTGATGAGTTTGGTGAGTGGAGTGTTGAAATGTACAGCCTCATCTCCGAGAGCGGTTTGGATCACGTTACCAAGGGTTTGATGACGGGCGTCGGTAGCGGGAGTAAGAGCTGTCTGAAGATTCTGCCCAAGCTCCTTAACAGCCCTGGTGGCTGCATCCACGTGGGATTGTATTTTGCAATTTCGCACGAATGCCTTTATCTCATCAGCAGTTTGCCTGGCAATGAGGGGAAGCTGTATCAGTGTCACTTGGATGCCAGTTGTGAGAAGTTTCTTCGTATTCGACTTAGAGGAAGGCCCACCCAAAACTTTAGTCTCAACCAATGTAGCAATTCCTTCAGCCCTATTTGGATCAACATTGCTTTCCAGTGTGCTGGCAACGTCATCATAAAACCTGTGAATTTCATCAAATATCGCCTGCGTGGTTGTTCCAGCTCCGGTTGGAGTTTGGATACCGGAGTTTTTAACAAGGTCTAAGATCCTAGGTTTCAGGTCGCTTATTACTGCTTCACGATTCGCATCTGCAAATGTATCACCAGATTTCAAATTGCCCGTACCCTGGTTTTGGTGGACATACGAACGTATATACATATTCACTGTGTCCTTACCCAAAATCTTATTTAGGCACTCCTCCACTTTAGTCTTAAAGCTGTCGGTAGTAAAAGTCCTAGCATACGCCGCCAGGTCTTTGACAATTTTATCTAAATGACCTTTTGTGCCCCTCTCATCCGCAATCGAATCAGTTTTCTCGTCGATCGCCTCTTTTATACGGTTCCCTAACTGTCTTTCAACATACCCCTTAATATTACTCTTGATGGCATCCTTAAGAAGATCGATCTCCTTACTCAACTCAGTTTCGATACCACTCAACCCCCCTTTTACGGTTCTTCTAACATCTTGATGAATGGTAGCAAGCGTCGTCAACTGCTCCTCAAGGTGATGCAATTCTTCACTGACCTTATCGAAAACATCTTGGAGGTCATCGCAGATGTCGGTCGTATCAAGAGCCGTAAAATGTCCATCAATGACTCCCAAGCGCGCAACAATCTCACTATCATATTCTCTCTCCAACGATTTTGCCGCTATATTTGCCTTCTCAAGATCCTTCATCAAGGTGTTGACTGAACTCAACAGACCCTTTAGCGTAGTAGATTGCATCGTTTTAATTTCATCAATTTTGCCATTTATGGTACTTAAAGTGGTATCTAGATTCCATTTAAGCTCCTGCGATGTATCTAAAATTTTGCTTTCAACAGTCCTCTTCTGCTTATCCATCTGATAGTCCACATTACTCACTTGGGCAGAGAACGCTGGATCATCGGCAGCAGATTTCATGTGCTCCACAACGCTTTTTATCGGCTTCATTTCTACGTCTATTCTACCTCTAAGTGCGCTATCTAACTCATTAATCTTATTTTGTACATCGTCTCTAAGTGCGCTAGAAATGCTACTAAGTGTCCCCCTCCACGCCGCCAGTTGCCTGGCAAGTGGGTTGGTCGCCTCGTCCGTGACATTCTTGTAATACTCATTCACACCTGCATCAGATGATAATTTAGTAATCAACTTACCTAATTTAGTCTTCACTGCTCCAGTCCTCTCCTCCACCTGCTCACCATGTTTTTTCAACCACCCACTTACCTGAGTCACGGCCTCCTCGAAGGCCTGACGGCCTTGACCTACATTATTTTCAAGTAGCTTAATAAGTGAAATAATATTGTTATCAGTGCCTTTAACATCATATTTCGTAACACTTTCATCCTCCTTCACAGTCTCAAGAACTCCATGAAGGAAAGACATCACCCCGTCGCACAGCCTGTCAAGGTCCGAGTACACGATGCCGGAGCCAGTGTAATTACCATTACTGTGGCCGAGAAATTTTTCGAGGCCTGTGCACAATTTATCAAGTAAATCATGTGGACTCTTATTTTCATTAGTTTTCAGTGACTCAGCAAGATCACAAAACTCATTCAGTGTATCAAGAGACTTCTTGGAAGCCTTGTGAGACTGAAGATCCTTATTAAGCTTGTCAATTTGAGAGGCATTTTGAGGAGATTTATTCTCTTTTTTAAGCTTTTTATCTTCATCTTCAAGCTTTTTAATTTGCTCATTAAGGCTCTGAATTTTTTTAGGAATTTCCTCATTAAGCTTATTTAAGGGACCATTAAGATCATTTAAATTGCACTGATTAAGGATTTTAGCAAGATTTACAGGAGTATTTTGATCATCTTTAAGGTGATTTTTACGTTTATTAAGCTTCTCATTAAGATCATTAATTTGACCACGATGATCATCACACCCCTCACCTCCGCAAGATGTTTGTAAACGCTTAACAAGCTGATTTACATTACTGTGCAAACCATTTACAAGTGCATTTTTAACTTCCTCACTCCCACCAATAAAACCCGAAAGCTGTCCAGCAAGCGTACCAAGAGAGATGCGGCGGGCATCTATATCATCCAAGGTTTTCCCCCTGGCATCCTGAGTAAGGTAATGAACGTCATTATAATGGTTATTGTAGTTGGATTAAAGGTGGATTAAGGGAGAGTTAAAAGAAGTAAAGGGGGATGAAATGGCACATTTTTAGGGCGATTCGGGGGAATTTGGGGAAATGTCAAATTAGGTCAAGGAGGCAGAGGGGCAGCGAGGGAGGTGGGTGGACAAGGCGATGGAAGTGAAGGGCAATGAAGAGAAAGATAGATTGAAATAAAAAATTCAGGTGGAGAAAGGCGGAAAATAAAGGATTTGGTGAAGGACCTCAACAAGAAGAAAAATCGAAAAATCAAAAACAAAGACCAATGAAAGAGGAAATGGTTAGATGGTTGAGTAAATGATTGAGTGAATCAGTAAATGAATGGTGAAGTGAAATGAATTGAGTAAATGGAGTTAAGTGGTTGAGTGAGTGGGTGATTGAATGGATGGTGCGTGGTAAATGGTAAATGGTGGTTGAGTAAATTGAGTGGTTGAATCAAGTTAAATGGTTGAAATGGTTAATGGGTAGAGTAGTTAGTGGGCAGTAAATGAATAAGTAAAGTATTTAAGTGAGTATTTAAGTAAAGTGGTAAAAATGGGTAAAGTAAGTAAGTGAATGCATTGATTAAGTAAATGCGTGGGTAAATGGTTGGGTTAGAAGATGGTAAATGCATTGAGTCATTAGATGGAAGTGTCGATGGTTAAGTGTTAAGATTAAATGGGTTAAGTGGTTAAATGGGTAAAATGAATAAGTATTCGTGGTCAGTAAGTAAGTAATTAAAGTAAGTATTTAAGTAAATGAGTAAGTAAGTAGTAAGTAAATTAAGTGGTGAGTGAAATGAGTATAAGTAAGTAAATGGAATTAAGTATAGTTGAAGTAAAGTGGTAATTGAAAAAGTAAACGTTAAAAAAAAATAAGTAAGTAAATATAAATGAAATATATATATAAATAAAGTAATTAATAAATTGATAGAAGTAAATAAATATATAGATTAAGTAAATGCGTTAAATTCATTAAATAGATTAAATGAGTAGAATGAATTTAAATGTAATTGAAGTAGATTAAATGCAATGAATTTAAATATATGGTAGAATGAAAATAAAGTAAATTATAGCGTAAGTTAAATTATGAAATGCAGTAAAGTAATTAAGTGAGTTAAGTGGAGGAAATAGAGTGATTAAGTAAGTAAGTATGGTGGAAGTAAAGTGAGTGAAGTAAATGAGTAAGGTATGTAAGTGATTAGGGTAGAAGTGGGTGAGTAGTTGAGTGGTGGAGTGGTGAGTTGAGTGGGTGGGTGAGTATGTGAGTGATACACAGATCACACGTGAAGGCACGATTATGGTGAGAAGTACTTGACGTTGGCGAGTGCCTTGACGCGTGCGGCGGCGAGGAGCGACTGCGCGGCGATGCGGTGGCTTGAGGGCGATCTCAGGTGGGAGCGTATCCTCAGGACGTCGAGGCGGACGACGGCGATGTGCAGCAGGTACAGGAGCGACAGCGACCAGAGGGATAATAGCGTCTGGGAGAATGGTTCTCTGATGGACCATAGGAATTCGTCACATTTGGTGAATAAATCTATGAAATACTGCGAATGAAGGAGGCTTTTAAATTGATGGTGGAATGCAATGCAGGTTTTCGGTGATGTTTTATTATGCAAGGCCGATGCGTCACCAAATGTGAAACCATATTTATATAGCATTGGAGACACCCCTCTGCAGGCTACTATAGAAGGACACTGACATGGATTGCTTTCATCGCCGTGCTTTCCGGGTTTACAAGCTTCGCTATGAAAGCATCCACGACAACCCCAGTCCTTACAAACTAGGTTTTTGAACTCATCAAACAGACTTTGAAGGTATTGCCAGAATGTCCACGGCAAGTAAATAGCCCATGTAAGGTATGTGTCAGAGTTCTTGTGAACTACGTAATAATATGCGTCATCGCATAAAGAATTGAGATAGGGAGCGCAGTGGACATTCATGCTAGAAAATGGACAAACCTTTTTCATGGAAAGGCTGGACAGGTCGGTGTTTTTAGATGTCGGATGCGGCGATACGTGAGTGTTCTGAGTGGCGCCATACGCCTTACGAAGTGCGGTAGTCAACTCGGGCGGATTTTTATATAACTCAATAGACACCTTCTTAATGGACAACTCGATGGCAGTTTTCACTGGACTGCCACTAGTGAGATGCCAGCCTCTAACTAAACACAATGTAAATCCGAGGTGCTCTGCCAACGTAGCAGGCGGTTTGGGTGCCAGCAAGAAAAGGGCTGGGATGTAGTCATCACCAAGGAATATATCAAGGATTCGACATAGCTCCTTGCCCGTCTTCGTGCTTCCTGAAAATGTGCGGAAGCCGAGAGGAGTTATGCAGGGCATCCCAGGTTTACCAGTGGGACAGGTAGCACATTTGTATTGACAGCCAATGGAACTGACATTATGAGGCAAATGCCCCGGAAGGCAGTCATTTAGGTAACTCATTAATGGCGATCTAGGTTGGCACATTGGTTGGCATTTTGGTTTACCATTTGCCTGGCATGTTGCTTGGCACTTTGCTTCGTCGCTTGTATGGTCGGTACATGGGAATTTGGTTGTGAGAATATCTCTGCCGTAGAGACATTGTTGCCAGCCACTGTACTTCACGCTGAGACTGCATTGGCTACACAAGAATTTTAGCGGTAAGAACATTCGACGAAGCAAGTCAAGAAGCATCTGCAGACACGCTCCCCCGGAGGATGGGTATTGTAGATTTAGTGAGTTATTAGAAACATCACAGGCATACGTGCAGTCTGCATCACCGGTTCCAAGGATAGAGTTGAGTAGGGTCTGGGATTTAGAACAGAGATGGTCAATTGCGGAATGCGCGTCCTTCGCGGTAACATTAATTGGAGATGCATCTAGTGTCAGATATTTTGGGTCAATGTCGGAATATTCTATGTGCTCTTGTCCCTTGGGCTTATTAAACAGTGTTCTACAGTGATCTTTGAGCTTGCCATAAACCTTATTATGTGGGAGTCCGGAGAGCCAGCAGAGCATCTCGTTGACAGAGCACGGTGACTTAGGTGACGCGATATGCTTACAGTGACCGACTTGGTAAATTTGATGAAGATGGGATTTAAGACATGAGATGACGTCCATGAGATTATAACCATTTTTCTTATTTTGTTTGTCTGTTATACACGTTGTGAGGTGTGGAATGTTGCTGCCGTCAATTGCCTTGGCTAGATTGGCAATAATATCTGCACCGGTGCATTTCTTCTCATTTTGCAACTCTCCGTCTTGATTGGGTAACTTGTTGCCACGTCATAGCCGACAGTCTTCAGATAACTGCCGAGGCTGCTAGGCGCGCAAATTTGTTTTGCGGACCAATCTGTATTGCATCGGTCCTTCAACGTAGTCAACTCACTGTACAGCGTAGGGATAACAGTCAATCCTATTTTGCCATAGTTATTCCAGTCCTTTAGGTCCCACTCTCTTCCGGAGTATCTGTTGACGTACGCCTTTCCGAGTTCATCGCCGAACGCCAGCAAGCCTTTTTTGAGCGCCTCGGCCAGCGGATTGGACGCGTCGGCAAGGGATCTGGAACGCATATCGACGAGACATTTTGGAGTTCTGAGAGGTTTTTGTGGAACTGGTGATCGAAGTGGTGCGTGGCGAGATCGTCGAGGAGAGTCTCAAGGAGGGAGGGAGGAGGGAAACTACATAAGCAATATATTTAGGGTCTTTAATTTGCCGTCTGACGTAGGTAGATATGGCTGTGAAATAGGTTTTCACTGCTTCACATCCTGCAGTTAATTTTGATTTATCTGCTCCAGTATTCAATGGATCCAGTTTTGTATGTTCGCCTTTCATTTCCCCCAGTAGACCCTTGATGCCGGAGGCTATGTCGGAGTCGATAATGCTTGTAATTTCTCTAAGCTGCGCATTTACAATGTCTTTCAAGGCTTCAACCTCCTTTCTTTTCCGTTCTGCATATAGGTTCCTAGCTTCATCTTGCATGGCGTGGAACGTGTCGGTGATTTTTCGATTGACGACATCATGGAATTCTTTCATAGTATTTTTCGATTTTTGCAGCGCATCGGTCATCAGCTTGTCGGTAGCCATGCACGAGGTAATTTCCGTTTCAACCTTTCTTGCATTGTCCTAACTGCTACAACCTTCGTGCTAAGTGTCCTGATATTCTCTTGAAGCGTCTTCAAATCGTTGTATACAGTGCCTGCTTTATCGTCTGTGTCGCCAACGTTCTTACTCAGAAACGTGCCGATTTGTGATTCAAGCTCCGCAGCTTTCTTTTCAAGGGTTGACTTGCCGCCAGGTGCGCCTGCTTTCACGTCACCATCATTCTGTTTTGTTTGAAGCGCCGCGAGCGTCTCCTTAATTTTCGTCAGATTAGATTTATTATCGCCCAGTTCACCGCTGATGATCTCATTAACCGTCGCCTGCATCTTCGTGATTGCTTCATGCGCCGTCTCTTGGAGGAGTGTCTTGAGTTTGTCGTTTGCTGCTTCTACGTTGACTCTAACTCGGGCATCGATTTTGTCGGCGAGATGGATCCCCCTTCCGGAGAGGGCGGTAACGTTCCTGGAAGGTTGTCACCCGAGTCATCCATGGCATCTCAAGATAGGTGTCAAGCGCCTCAACAGTAGGGTAGGTTCCTTCAAGTATACCTATTTTCTCGAGTACTCTTCCGATGACTTCCGTGGCTACTTGCCTCCTTGAGTAATATTCTTTGAACGGGCCATCTTTATCAAGCTTGAAACTGGACAACCTATTAACATCACCAGCCCTAAAATAGTCCTTCAGATCTGTTTTAATGGCAGCGATCTTGGCTTTAAGGGTTTCTTTTTGGGTGCCGTCCTCCTTCACCCAGTTGTAATATTGCGGCATGGCTTCCTGAATATTATACTCATTCGAGCCACTACCCTTCTTAAAGGCACCTTCCACTTGCTTATCAAGTCCTTGAATCACAGTATTGATGCTGCTTGTAAAATCAGTCACCAACCACTCGAGTCCTCTAACGTTTTCCGTTTCGCCGCCGCCGCCGTACTCAACTTTTATGTCACCGGCACTGCCATTATTTACACCTTGTTTAATCTTATTCACTTTAGAATTTATAGCCTGGGCAACACTATGAATTTCTGTTTGGACTTCAGTTCTGACACCATCGATGACTGCTCTGACCACACTGTGCGAGTGCGTGGCGACGGCTTTGGCCATTTCAGCTAATTTGGGGAGGAGGGATTCCAATTCATCTTTGCTTATATTCTCCACGGACTTCGTTTTGAGGTTATTTATGACAGGAAGCACGTTGGAAAATTCTGTATTTAGATCGTCAAATACGATGTTTCCGAGAAGTGATTTAACATTAGTCAGATTCGGCAGGGTAGTGAGATTACTAATAGTTGTAAGAGATTTTAAGGCGGTGGTTATGCTTTCATTAACCGGCGATTTCTTTAGTTCATCTGGTAAGCGATTCACTCCGTAGTAACCAGCGTATATCTTAACCAATTCATTAATCTTCTCCATCGCCTCCTTGACAGGTTGCATGACTTGGATGTCAAGCTTCTGGAAATACTGTTTAAGAGAGTCGAAGGGATCAACGCCGCCTTTCTTAAGCGCAGTTAATAATTTAAGGTCTCTAAGCTTAGACGTATCAATACTCTCAAGTTGATCAAGAGTTCCCAATTTCGTTATTGCACTCTCCACGACAGTGATAGCTTGAAAAAGTGCTCCTTTAGTTGCACTAAATTTATCACAAAATCCTTGCGAACTGCGTTTAAGGTCACCGAACAAACCCTTAACCTGTCCTTCCAACTTCTCCAAATCAAATTTCACTTTTGTGTCCAACGTGGTAAGCGCTGTGCCAACTTGCTCTACAGAGTCATGTATAGTTTTGCCAATTTTACCGGCAGCCAGCTGAAGTTGGCCATCTAATTTAAAAATGTCATCTTTGACCGATTTGGCTTGCCGGTGGAGCTTGGATATTTTACCGCCTGGAACAGATCCTTTCAGATTCACATTCTTCATATCTTCTTTAATGCTCTGTACTTCCGTCTGAACTTTCTTGACATACTCTGTCACATACTTTTTAAACTTCTCATTCAGCTCCTGCTTAAGCGATTTTATCGGACTTCTCAAATCCCATACATTATCATCTTCACCCATTTGCTCGTAATCACTCAGGGTTTTATTCGGCACCTTCACCGTATCACCAACCTCTTCAAGTTCAGACAAGCGTTTACTCAACTGTTCAACCTCTTTCTTAAGCCTCCCTTTCTCATCTTCAACCAATACTTGAGACTCCCTGCATCCTCCAAAATACTGCTAACGCCTTCAACAATGTCACTGTCAAACCTATTCTTAAGATTGGCCAACGCACCGCTCACCGTGTCAAAGGACTTCTGAAGGCCGTCAAATACGGAGGTTTCCAATTCGCAAAATTGAGTTGATTTAAGGTTGAAAACCGCCTACAACTTGCTGATTTCATCTTCCAAATACTTCTGAAGCGCATGGAATACCGCGTGAAGTATTTTTCAAAAAATCTTGTAACCTCATTCAATTTCGTCCCGACCAGCCCATACACTTCCTTCAAATCGTCATTCTCAGCGTTCACCTTGAAAGCCTCCAGAGCCTGAAACAACGATTTCACATTACATTCTAACTTACCTGATAAATCTGGATCCAATTTTTCTCTGGCCTCATCGGCCTCCTTGGCGAGAAGAATGTACTGTCCGCGCGCCAGTCAGTTGCCTATCTGCGTAGAAAGATCACTGATTTTTTTCATCAATCTTACCTTTATGACGTTGTATTTCATTTTGTAGACGATTTATAGGATCCATAACCTTCTTGATTTTTTGGTCCACCTGCGCACCATGATTTTCAACCACTCACTTACCTTGGACACGGCCTCCGGGAAGGCCTGACGGCCTTTACCTACACTATCATGTAAAGTGGTAATAACATTATTAATGTCATTTTGTGTATTATATGTAGTAAACGGAATCATCATCCCTCACACTCTCAAGAACTCCACCCAAGAACGCCATCCCCCGTCGCAGAGCCTGTCAAGGTCGAGGTACACGATGCCACTGCCAGTGTAATTACCATCATGGTAGCCGAGAAATTTTTCGAGGCCAGTGCACAAATTAGATAAAATATCTTTACAGTTTCCATCATTTTTCTGTGTTTTACTAACATTCTCACAATGTTGACAAAGCTCATGTAGACTTCTGACAGAATTCATAGACTTCTGATGAGAGTCAAGAGATTTAGAGTCTTTCTCAGGGAAATTATTTTTTGCTTTTTGAAGCTCTTCTTGAGCCTTTTAAGTTCATTTTCATCATATTTTTGCGGGCTTTTAGATTCTTTCCCCTCCTCAATTTGCTTTTTAAGCTCATTCACTTGAGACTGAAGGCTATCAACATCTTTTTTCTTCTTGTCAAGTTCAGTAATTTTACTTTGAACAGCGTCAATTACAGTTGTAATTTCCTTTTGAGCTCAGGAATTTGTGAGAAAATTTGTGTTTTAAGCTCTTCATTTTCCTGTTGAAGCTTCTCAATCTCAGTATCACTGACGGACGGCGTCCTTAAGGACGCCTCACTTTCAGCAATATCTTTTTTGCTTTTTAAGGCCATTAATTTTTGTTTCAAGATCATCATATTTCTTAAATGTATCTTGAAGATTTTTAAGATCATCACGGAATTTCTTAATATTACAATCCACACCCCTCCCTCCGCAAGATGCTTTTAAAGCTTATCAAGCTGATTTACATTACTGTGCAAACCCTTCAAAATCGCATCTTTAACTTCCTGTCCACTGCCAATAAAACCGAAAGCTGTCAGCGAGCTTACCAAGTTGGATACGGCGGGACTCAATATCATCAAGGCTTTATTTCTGGCATCCTCAGTGAGGTAATGAACTTCATTGTAATGGTCATTGTAGTTGGATTAAAAGGTGGATTAAGGGTAGTTAAAAGAAGTAAAGGGGATGAAATGGCACATTTGAGGGAGTTTGAGAAAGCGATTTTAGGTGACGGAGGCAGCAAGGGGTGGGTGGACAAAGTAAAGAAGAGTGAAAAGAGCAAAGAAAGGCAACAAAACTCAGATCGATTAAAATAAACGATAAGGGATTGAAGAAAAAACAAAACTCAAATTTAGTAAGAACCTCACTCAGAAGAAGAATGTCTGAAGAAAGAAAAGGAAGAAGAAACAAAAGTAATGTAAATAAATAAATATAAATGCGTGTCGATAAAGTAAATGCGATTAAGTAAATGGCAGTAAATGAATTAAGTCGATGCGTGGGTAAATGAAGTAAAGTGGATGGAAGTGAGTAGGTGGAGTGAAGTTAGGTGGAGTAGTTGAATAAGAGTATATGATGGGTAGGTAGTTAGTAGGAAGTGGGTAGGTAAGAGTGAGTGGAGTGGTTAAAATGGTTGAGTGGTTGAGTGGTTGAGTGAGTAGTTGAGTGGGTGAGATACAGATCACAGGTGAAACGATTACGGTGAAAGCCAACGTTGGCGAGTGCCCTGACGCGTGCGGCGGCGGGAGACTGCGCGGCGATGCGGTGGCGAGGGCGATCTCAGGTGGCGTATCCTCAGGACGTCGAGGCGGACGACGGCGATGTGCAGCAGGTACAGGAGCGACAGCGACAGAGGATAATAAGAGGTAGGAGAAGGGTTGTCGTATAGTCCATATATATTCAGGTATTGTTTCATGTAATAACTTAGCGATTAGTGATTTGCCGCCGCATGCTTTTTTCAGTTGCTCGATTAAATCTCCACATGTTCGTTTCAAATGCTTTCCGAGTCGACCTCCGATTTTCGTACCATTTGCCAAATACTATCCCTTCTGTGTAAAATGCAGGAAGGGTGTGAGCGTGAATTATTGACCGGCAAGATGACGAATGTGTCGATGATTTCACACTTTGGCAGTCATTTGCGCACCTTCAATACGGCACTTTGATTCATTTTATGCAATTTTCTTCACATTTCGACAATAACTACAGAGGTAATCATAGAATGTTTCGGTCAGGTAGACAATCCATGAGAGTACTTTTCAGCGTGTTCCTGAGAATATATGCAGCGCGTATTATAGCTAAGGGGTGTATGTATGAACCGCAGGGAGAGACTAGGGATGATTTCTCATTGCAATTTATTATCGAAGAAATATCTCACCACTGGGATGGTTGTCATCCCTATAGCGCGCTGTCATATAGATTCAGGGTTAAGCTGTTTGTTGTTGCAAGAAATAAGCATTATCAACAGCTGTTTGAAATGCGCCCTTTCTGTGGACCACTGTTACTCCATCATCACTCAGGAAACTGTAGTAGAACGCAAGCATCTCGTCAAGGTCTGCGGAGGTTTCTGTAATAAACATGTCAGATAACCGCAGAGCTTTGTAAGGGTTGTCCGAGTTTGCAAAAGCCCGCCAAGGCCTTCATCAGGTGCTGGCCTCATTGTGTAGCGACGCAACAGTGCTAATGTTTCTAAAGCCATTGCCGTCTTGCACGGGATGCCACGATGATTAGCAACTGAGCAACTCATTTTAATCAGGCTTTTGAACGGATGAGGCAGGAAGCCCTGGAGCCCATCTTCCAAAACGATTGGAGCGGCGACTTAAGGCCGCACCTAGGGTGTTGCCTGCAGTTTTGCTTAAATATTTGCTTACACTTTTGGCACATTGCTCATCATTGCAGTTCAAAGCGGAGCCACCAGCCCCTTTTCCGTAATGGCAATCAGAAACCGCTACTGCTATTGCCGTTACAGCACTGATAATATAGAAGTAAAGTTGCTGATGGAGTCTCGAACATATTTCTACGAGCCAGTCGAAGAGCAGGTGGCAGGACTGGTCGGATATGACAGATCGTCTGGGTTGGTGTTGTAATCGCATCCATATCGGCCTTCGGCGTTGCCATAGCCTAGGATTGCGCTTAATACTTTTCGGCGTGGCGACAGGTTAAGGTGAGTGCCCGATTAATTTGCTAGGTGATAGAATGGAATGTTTAGAGTGACCTTGAATATCTGCTGGGAAATCCACGGCCAAACCATTTTCTGCGTTGGTAAACAACCACCCAAGAATGTCGTGAGTTGATCACGCATCGGATTGTACCGTAGACCGCAAACCCATTCGAGCATTTGGTGCACAGTGTTCGGTGCTTTGGCAGCGGGGATATGGCGGACCTGCGTAACGCGGTAGAAGTTGCGGAGTAACTCGCGGAAGTATTCAAGCAAGTCCATAACCTTTATATCGCCATTATGTTCTATATCGTTGATTTGGATGTTTGTATTTAAAAGGCTAAGTGGTGTCTCAAGCTTCCCAGAAATTGCTGAACCGGTCATGTTCGATTTATTTACCAGTTCCGATGTGCAAACATTAAGACCTTTAGATACGTCATATCCATCTTTTCCATAAAATCCCAAGTGGGTTTGCCATCTCTTTACTTCTGCCGTTCACAAACTGATATGTAGCAACAAATTAATCTGATTTCGTGTCCACTCGTTTTCACATTTGTATTTCAGTTCAGACAATTCGCCATGTAAGTATTAAGTATAGTGAAGAAAACCTTTGCGCATTTCGTTGCATCTTGAGTTAGGCCACCATCATCGGAAACCATGAAATCAGGAAGCGTGGATTTGCGCTCCCACTCGACGGTCTGTTCAGTACCGGGAAACATATGTATACCCGAGTTGAGTGGCGAACGAAGTAAGACCCTTTTAATTGAATCCAACGGCAACGGGTTGGAATGGCCAGCGAAATGGGATGGTGACAGGTTACTAAGTGATTTAAAGTGCATCTAAATTATTAGAGAAGGTCAAATTAAAATAGTTGGAGTAGTAAGTAGTTCTAGTAAGTTGTGTAATTTTCCTTCACATCGTCAAGGTTATTAACCTTGGGATAGACTTGGCCTATAACGTAATTCAACAGTATATCGAAGAATTCTTTGCAGTTTCCTGTGGCTTCTGTAAATTCCATAACGGGGAGGTGGGAAGGCTTTTCAATATGATTGCTTATAACATTAATGAATGCCTTAATTCCCGTCATTTTATCTGTGAATATGATTTTTCAATTTCAGCATTGTGCTTCGTAACTAATGCTTTCAGCTTCTCAAGCTCCGCCACCTTGGAGAACACAAATTGTTTAAGACACTCATTTTTCGTCTGTGTCTTGGCTGAATTCGTTTGATCGGTTACCTTAGCTGTGATAGTATTTAGACAGGTGGAGGCGGCATTCTCTAGGACTTTATCTTTCACGTTGGTGACCTGGGAGTCAAGTTCGCGTTTCACTCCCGATTGAAGCGCAGTAATCACGTCGATTTGTTTTATAATTGATTATTTTGGTTGTGTTTCATTTTTTCCTTGAGTCCATTGTCACTAGTCTGTAATTCTCTGAAGCTGGTCTCACCAGCTTTCGATAGCGCCAGAGTCGATGACTTGTTCAGAAAGAGCAGACCGGATATTGATTATATATTTATTCCTCTCTTCAACAGCTTGTTGAAGATCTTTCGCAACGTCTCTAATCTTCTTTATAGCCGAGTTCAATCTCCCAATATTGGAATTTGCAATAAATATTTCAACATCCTTTTCCGCGCCCTTTGCTGCCGACTGCAGTGCTGTGAGGTAGTATGGACAGCTTGCTCGAGTAATACTGGTATCCCGATGTAGAGGAAGTGGATAATTTAAATTGGGGATTAGACGACAGCTCACTCTCAATCGACTTCATTATTTCAGCATCCTTGCCTGTCACTTCAGTGGCATAGCTTGTGAGATACCGTATGATCTTTGTCAGAATTTCGTCGACAGAAGTCTGCTTTCCAGATGGTATGGCTCTCATTGTTTCCAGCGAATCATTAATCTTCTGCTGAACGATTACTGTTATTTGAGGAGGATTTGTGTTACATCCTTTCCCAAACTACCACCAAATCCGTTCTTGTTGACACCAACATAAGCATCAAGCCACCAATAAACAGGTCTACTTTTCCAATGCTTTCGACCAACTTCCCAGCACCCTTTTCGAAACTAACTTTGAAACCATCGGCATAGTCGCCGAAACCTTTGACAATTTGATCGAGGATACCATCTCTTTGATTTTTTGAATTCGCAATAGCATCAGTAATACTTTCTAATTCATCTTTAATCTTTGCCCACAGACCTCCAAGGTGCTTGGATCCATTAATTTCCGTCTTATCATAAATTCCTTGTGCCTTCTTTTGACAGCGGCACATTTTCATCTTGATGCTTCCTAGTGTTTTTCATCAAACCTTTCATTTTATATGCCCAACCGCCGTCTCGACATTTGTTCTGATACTCTCCAACTTCTTTACTGTGGCCGTCAAGTAGGAAACTTGTCTAGTAATCATACCATCTACCTCGTTTTAAGGTTATCAATACCTTCAGTCACGGACTTCTTAAGCGCAGCTACCTGCTTAAGTACCTCATCATTCACCTTGTTCTAACCTCCGTAAGTTGATCATCAATTTTGTGGCAAGCCGCCCTAAGACCCTCATGGTCTGACGCAGCATTAACACGGAATGTCTCAACAGCATTATGCAGTAAGCTAACGTGAGGATGTAACTTATTATTAAGCTGTTTGTCTACGCTATCAAGTGCGCTAAGTGACTCTTGAGTCTTGTCCGTCAGACCTGAAACATTATTAATCCAAACAACTCACCTTTTTTGTCGTCATAATCTTGATCCTTCATCCTTGAATGTCTTTAATCAACGACCGGATTTTCTTGAAATTATCTCCATCGTCGCCTTCTAAAGGTCATTTATCGGCGTCGTAACTTTCTTGATTTTCTCCCCCACCTGCTCACCATGTTTTCAACCACTCACTTACCTGAGACGCGCGCGTCACGGAGGGCCTCACGGCCTTTACCTACACTATCATGTAAGAGTGGTAATAACATTATTAATGTCATTTTGTGTATTATATGTAGTAACGTTATCATCATCCTTCTCCACTAAGCCTCCACACAAAGCGCCATCACCCCGTCCACAGCCTGTCAGGTCAGATTCACAAATTCCTTCTCCCAATTACCATCCTGGTAGCCGAAACTTTTTCTAAACCTCCACAGAGGTTATTTAAAAGGTTTTAGTGTTATCAGATTTTGATCCAATTTTCTCAGCATATTCACAAAGC